TCCTTGGAAGAGGCGGAGAGGTGGGTGTTTGTCATCTGCTGGTGGATTACCGGAGAGAATTACAGTGCTTGCCTCGACGGGGAGGGATTGCATTGAATTACAGGAGCAAACGCTTGCCTCGGGGAGGGAGAAAAAGAGCCACAGCGGAGAATAAACAGAAGGGCAACCATGCAAGGGAAGTCTTCTTCGCTGCTTTTGTGGCAGACTACAGCGCCACTTACAGGCTTGGCATATGTACTACAGCGTCTCCGGCACTTTCGAGCGGAAATGGCCGGGCCGTGGCCCAACCCCACATTCCCCTGATAGGTGGAGAATTGACCACGAAGCGGAGCACCACTTCTGTGACGTAGAAAAATAATTCAAATCTGGATCAGTCTGTATCGGATCCGTTGCAGCCCCGTTTTTAGAGATTTGGGTATGGAGGAAAAGAGAGAGGGTTGTGTTTTCTGACACTTGGTGAGATCCCTGGAACACCGAGGACACATATTCATGTATAAAAGACGTACAAAAGTGCATTTTGCATGATAGGTCCCCTTTAAAGCGGACAAAAGGCACTGGAGAACACTTATTCATTAACACCCTTTAATGAAGCAAACTAATGCCTTAACTCNCTCAAATACAGTCGTTTACTTATTTCGGTGAAACGAATGTGCGTAGAGTTTTAAAGGATGCGGATAGTCTCACCTTGATTCTGGCGTATTGCTTATCGTTTTAAAGATCTATTCTCACCCACCATCTTTGTTTGTGACGTAAAGAGTGTAAGAGTCACGTTTCTGACTGTTGCCTGTCAGTTCCGGTGCCTGTCAGTTCCGTTGCTATGGTTCCGTTGTTATGTGTACTGAAACGAGAGCCGGTATAATTCCACGCACGAAAACTAAATAAAAATTGGAATAAGTTATTTTAGTGTCTTAAAAGTAGACTGAGGTATGAAGGGTTAACGTTACATCTTAGGATAATTTTTAGTCATGTTCTGTATACATACTAACATATAAGGGTATACTTAGTGTGGTTACTCCATGTTTACTAGCTATAAGATTAACGTTACATCACTCTTTCTCACTTCTTACTCAGTCAGCCAGAGTGCAGATATCACCATTAGATTCATAAACCTGAAACCTCATCCATTTCTTCACTGCTGCTGATGACATTGTTGTCAGCTGCTGATACTGCTGCAGCTTGTGGCACCTGCTTCAATGACAATAACTGCACATTACTCCCGAGACATTTTCCAAAAAAAAGTGAAACATCCGGGGCTTTTCAGAAAACATCCGGGGCTTGAGCCCAAGTAGCCACCCCCTAGCGCCGCCACTACACTCTGGTAGTTCAACTTCGACCTAAGTTCAAAATACCTAAACTACCACCTCCCTGTTCTTTGTAACTCTAAACAGGCTCCGCAATTAACGCCAGTCCTATCTGTTCATGTATGCCAAAGATCCTCCCTATCATCCGCTAACCAGTGCTTCCCCCTACGAGGAAGACTACTTCAAACTCTTCCTCTTGCAGAACTTAAACTCCGATACAATATTCCAAACCGACTATAGTTGTTTGTTGGATTATTTCAATAATTTATAGACCTCTATGTACTTGTTTTGATCTGCACCTGCTTTAACCAGCGGGGATGGAGCATAATGAGGCGGTGTTGTTGAACGCAGCCCCGGCAGATGGTGCACACGGAGGAGCGCCGCTGTTACACCGCACAGGTGCTTGTTGTCATGGAGGAGCAAAGATGGCGGTCCTGGCCTATAGCCTGGGCAAACGCGAAATAAATCAACATTTCACCATAAAAAATGCCAAATTGATATCGCTGGTTCTCGTCAGTTTACTCATCGTGTTCCACACAGCTTCGCGGTACTATGGAGGTAAGTGGTTTATTAAAGTTTATGTTGATGCAGGGAGGGAAGCACTTGACATCAGCTAATGCTAATGCTAGCTAGCTGTTTGTTTCTGCGAGTACTTATCTTGCGGGTCAGTACAGTGCTGTTATACAGTGTTGCGTGTAGAGGTGTGACATGTAGGTTACAAGTCTAAGACAATGCAAATAAATGGTGCCATGTATACACTTTAATTCGCGATTGGTCACTTAGCTGCAAAGACTTAAATCAGCTTTGTCTGGTTAGCTTAGCTGGATAAAGCTAACACTGCATTTAGCTGTGTTTACATGCTCCTGTCAGGACACACTTTGTTACTGCTGGAGAAGACATGTGTAGGTTTATGGAGCTAACCATTAACAAAATGGGATATTTCTTTTTAGGATATATTTTCAATTCCGTTAGGTACACATAAGCACGCTAAACCGTCGATAAAGCCTGTAAGTAATGATGTGTAGTAACGCAAACAAATTGAGTTCCTTAACATTTTTGCGTTGGCTTGGTCGTATAAAGATGTATTTGTTGAATTGATTACAACAGTTTGGATGTCATTGTTCTTGTCACACATCCTACGACTAATGACAGCCCGTGGTTTGGTTATAAATGCATATTTATTGGCTTACACACGCCTCCCATTTGGTTTGCATAGAATGGACTTTGTTCATGTAAAAGGATAGGAAACTCAGACCACTGTGCACACACTGATTGCATCTGCTTTTCCTGGCGATTACACTTCATGTTCTCAGATCTCTCCAGCCCCCAGAACCTAGTTTCGTCTCTTTCTATAGTTTGATTCCGTTGCTGATGGTTCCATTCATTTTGCACAAAAATGAATAGCTGGGGAGATTTATGGTTGAGCTAAATTGCTGATGGCTTTATGTTTTACTATGGCCCCTAGCTGAGCCCTGTATTGTATTCTAGTCTTTTGACAGCGCTGAATGAAAAGACGGGGTCTTATTGGACTGCAGGTTTTAGTCATAGTCACAGAGAAACTGAGTGAAAGCAAGAGCAGCGTTTTTTTGTTTGGTCTTATTGGGGAGTTCTCTGTTTTTTGCCTTCAGGCGGAGACTCATGTGAATGGCTGCTCTCCAAAGGACGATACTTGGGGGAGAGCGTATGGCAGCCGTATGGCTGCATGATGCACAAATACAAAAGCAAGTGAGTCATTCTAACTGGGCCTCGTCACAATATGTACAGTACATTTGAGACAAAGAAGAAGAAATAAATGGTTTGCAATTATTATTTGGGTGTGTCTGTCTGTAAGGGGGGATGGGTAATTTTGTCAGAGAAAAGATTGTTGAGTATGAACAACCCAAACTTGAATGATTGCTATCTGCAGTTGTTATGCCTCGCAGTTTTCAGATTCCTCACTGTCATTTTTGTCTAACAGTGAAGCCAACAACTGCCTTGCTCCAAAGCGAGTGGTCTTTGTGGGCGATTCACGGATCAGGCAGCTTTTTTACTCCTTCATCAAAATTATTGACCCTGAGCAAAGAGAAGTTGGAAACAAGGTAATTATGACAGAATACCATAAACACTGATCACCATATAAACCCAGCATTTGTATTGTGTTAACAACATTCAGATGTTTTTGCAAAAAAGATCCTGAAAACTTTATTAACTTAAAGTATTGGATCAAACCATTATATTCAAGGTACCAACCAAAGACTTGTTTGGAAGTGCAGGCAGAGAGTAACAAATGTAAAAAACTACAGGGACGTTAATATCAAGTGGTTTGCAAAACATATCCTCAACAAATAATTCAGCATTAGTATGCATGGCAATCATGCAGCAGCCGTCACTATTTTATGTCTGGTCTAATGTACTGTAGAGAAAACAGTCTTTCTCTCTGTCTGTCCACATGTCATGTCTGCAGCATGAGGACATTTCCTTTCTACACAAAAGTTCCTCTGTCAATGTGGTAAGCGATTTTTGGATGTGTTTTTAACTTTTTATCTCTTTTTCTCAGTCTGTAAAATCTTTCTCTGATTCAACATCTACGCCCTCTTTGTGTGTAGGAATTCCTTTGGTATCCAGAGGCAAATAATTCCATGAAGGAGCGCTTGATATCATGGACACACGTAAGTGTAAACGTTAACTGGTACTAAAAGTAGGGAGCATTATTAAACAAGTACGTTTTATTAAACATTGTCTTTGAGTTGTAAAACGAGTTTGATTTTCTAATTCAACTGCTCTCGTGTTTTGCAGGAAGGTTCATTAAAGCCAGATGTAGTCATCCTTGGAGCTGCAACAGTAAGCTGTATAAATGAGTGATTAGCAATGCTTGCACATTTCACGGTAGACAAAAACAAGGTGGTGTCTGATTTATGTCCATCTTAATCTCTTCCATTAATCCATTCACCACAGTGGTCCATCAAGTTGCGCAGTGGCAGCAGCGAGACACTGCAGCAGTACAAAGTCAACCTGACAGCCATCGCTGTGCACCTGGAGAAGCTGGCTGACCACGGAGAGGTCTACTGGGTTCTACAAGGTAACATCAGCTTCATTTATGATCTGTCACCTAGGTATTACTGCCTGTTCCCTTTACTACAGTGGTAAGTCTCTGATGTGATTACTGCGTTTAATATAAATGGGATTACCCTAGATTGCTGCAGGAATGTGTCCTTAAATCCGGAAGAGTTTTCATTTAATTTCCCTTGTCTGAAAGCCAACAGGTCAGATATCTGAAATAAAGTCTTGGTTAACACAAGCTTAAGATATTTTTACATTTTGTATTACAACATACAATCTGTAAGTAAATACTTCACTCGTGCACATTGGACTGGCGATGAAGTAATGCAACCATGGCGTAGTTTGCTTATACCTTATATGTTTATTTGTAGAGGGAACCAGGGATATACTCACTTGGATGTTGACCTAAAATAAAGGTCATCCTATCCTCAGTCTATTAGTGCCTATGATGGAACAAAACATTGAATCTTCGCACTGCAATAAAACACCTTAACACCTCTATCCTTTAGACCCAGTAAATGAGGAGGTGTTGAGTGAAAACAGGAAGATGATCACTAACCAACAGTTGGAGCAGTACAATGAGGCGGCGGCAGACGTGCTAAACAGCAGCAACCGTAAGGGCAGGTCCCGGATCAGGCTGTTGGCTGCGGCCCGTCAGGCTGCACTGGAGACTATCGCCCAGTCAGATGACGGCTTGCACCTGCCTGAAAGCACCAGGAATGTGGTAAGCAGGATTTATTTTAATTTAAGATTATTTGTTGGCAATTAGAAATACTCAATGGTTCATTTTCAGATGTTGTGACAGCCTAGTACTTGCATTTTGTGACCTCCAACATGGCCATATGTTATCGAAAGTGAAAAGTAACCTTCCGCAAAATGTCATATAAATTCAGGCCAGTTCTTTCTGTTTTTAATCCAGCTGACAAATAAATAAACCATAAAACATAATCACCTCGGTGGAGGTAATACATTTAAATTCTGAAATTGAACAATTATACAGAGTACTTTTATTTAAAGATGAAACTATACACATGAAACCATCAAGCAGTCTGACCTACAACATCATTAAAATACTTACATGTGAATGCATCAATAATACGACTCTCATAATTTAAACTGGAACATAGACCATTGTGCTGCCTGTTGTTTTAGTTTTATAATGCAGTTACATTTACTTCATACTTTTAGGCTAAACAAGACTTTTTAAATAAATGCAGGAATTCTACTTATTTTGGATACTTTTTTTGATAGTGTTGTTATTTCAGTAAAGGATCTCAAAACGTTCCCCCCTGTGTAATCCCCTCTCAGGGAGCCATGGTCCTCATGAACTCTATGTGCAACAACAAGCTGCGCCCCATTGACGGTTCCTGCTGCCAGACAGTGCCCCCCATAAGCCTCGTGCAGAAACTGTCAGCCTTCTTCTTCCTCGGCTCGGCCGTGGTCTTCGTCGTCCTCCACGTCCTCGGCAACAACCATCAACGCCGCCATGTGCCCCCGGACGTAGAGAGCCTGGAGGAGAAGAAGCCGGCGACTGCAGCTGCCGCCCCCGGCCCCAAGGAGCTGTTCAAGGCCCTCGGCAGGATGGGCATCATCATGGGATATTTCTATCTGTGTGACAGGGCAGATGTGTTCATGAAGGAGCAGAAGTTCTACACTCACTCCACGTTCTTCATTCCTCTCGTCTACATCATTGTCCTGGGAGTGTTCTACTACGAGAACAGTAAGGAGGTGAGAGGGTGCTTCTGAGTTCTGTATTATTTTTGTTTTGGTGAAACTACTTTCAACAAAACACCTTCATTTCAACAATATCCAGTCAGGTGCATTCCCTGTTGTTAATAAATCAGTTTTTTAGACACCTTACAGAAATGATCTACTAATTGGCAGTTTTATAAAGTGTTTTTCCTGTATAAGATCTGAGTTTAACGAATCTTTAAAATATGTGTAAAAACATAAGAAAGGCATCTGTGAATTTTTTAAATAGTAGGAATTCACCAAAAAAAAAAGGATTTACTGTAGTTGGTGGTGATTATATACACCAAGTTTAATGATTGGTTGGTTTTTTTTACAATTAAATGCTCTTTTTTTTCTTTTTCAAACAGACCAAATTTCTAAACCGAGAGCAAACAGATGAGTGGAAAGGCTGGATGCAGCTGGTCATCCTCATCTATCATGTCTCTGGAGCCAGTGCTGTGAGTCTTTTAATATACATTAAATTAATAAGATTATTTTCAACAATGTATATTCATACTTGACATAAAACAATGATCTTCTGTCTTCCAGTTCCTCCCAGTGTACATGCATGTGCGGGTGCTGGTGGCAGCGTACCTCTTTCAGACCGGCTATGGACACTTTTCCTTTTTCTGGCTGAAAGGAGATTTTGGATTGTATAGAGTGTGCCAGGTGAGTTTACAGTCAGTAACACTTTAAACGGAGACATTAGCTCTAAACACATTTTATTTTGTATTCAGGAGTGTGACTGCCCTTGGTCAACTTTTTGTACTTAAGCCTGAAATACCATCATATATTTTTTGTTATTTGTATTTCATGACATTTTACTCTCTCTGTGTAATATCAATGTGCAAATCTGCCGTCCAAGTTCGCATCAAAGCATACAGTAAGACACAGTAACTAACCCCTGGAAATCATTAAAAGCATCATATTATTGATAACAAACAAACACAGTTATTCGGTATGGACCATTATCTCTAATGCTAAGATTGATCTCTTAATGTTTTCATGTTCGTTTCGCTACAGGTCCTTTTCCGTCTCAACTTCCTGGTCTTGGTGCTGTGCGTGGTGATGAACAGACCCTACCAGTTTTATTATTTTGTCCCATTGGTCACCTTCTGGTTTGCCGTTATCTACTCCACGATGGCCCTGTGGCCTCAGATTCTCCAGAAGAAGGCTAACGGTAGGTGTCAGCTTTAAAAAACTGTTGCCTTTATTTTTGCACTCAATTGCATGGGAGAAAGTCCTAGAATATGTCCGTCAATACACATTCATATTTCTACTCAATAAATGAGATGCCTGTCAAACACGGCAGCTGGAGGGTTGCATTTAAAACGACTGTTTTGCCAATTATTGTTTTGTTTTCTGAACAGGCAGTGGTTTTTGGCACCTTGGGATCTTGGCAAAGTTACTGGGACTCCTGATAGTTATCTGCGTCTTTGCCTTTTCCCAGGTAAGTGAATTCAAAACATATTTTAATCCCACCTGTAAGAATTGCAACCTCACTTTAGTTTCAAATGTGTATAAAACTCCCAAAAAGCTGAATAACAAGATATTGCGGGTTTTATATTCATTTCATTTCAATACTGTAGGTATGTCTTTAAACATCACAGTTAAATGTATAGCATTATTTAAATTACAATAATGCTGTGATAGATTACATTTATGACTTTTAGCCTAAATGAAGCAAACTAGATGACTATGTTTTATCATTTGTGAATATGTCTGGATTTAATTAAATAAAGGTTTCTATTTTAAAGTAATTCCTAACCCTAACTGTTGGGGAATAATTTCCCCTGCATGTCCTCCTTCGCCCTCTGACACAGATGCCCAGCCTTGGGCAGCCGTTATCTCCCTTAAGGAGGGGCTGCCCTAGCATATTGTTGATGTTACCAGTTTATGACCGGGCAACTCTCAGTTAGATAGTTATTGATGTGGGACACCTGGAACACATCCTTCTCGGGGTGTAGATGACCCGAGCCATAAGCGACAACAACTCTGATTCAGTGTCCTCAGCTGTTTAGTCTATCTATTGAAGAATGTTAATTATTACACTCTGAACTAGTTAAAACGTCAAACTACAGGAGGGTGCTTCAGAATTGTCTTGTGAATTCTCCGGCCGAAGCTCCAAATAAACCATCAGTGTTTGCCATCAAAGCTCCAGCTCTCCATCGTGTCTCTCTGACGGCCCGTCCACACGGCGGAGTGCGTTGAAGCTTCAACGCTTCTGCCCATTCACTTTGAATGGGGTGACGTCACGCTTTGCCAAATTGCATTGTGGGAGCTTCGCTCTCTTCAAAAGTTGAGCAATGTTCAACTTTTGAAGCTTCGACGGAAGCGTCAGCCAATCAAATCATATGCCAGTACAAGCTCTAGCCAATCAACCGCGTGCTTGTGTGTCCGGGGCGGGAGATTCATGTGATTGGTTGTTGGTTGAGCTTCAGACATGCCCGCCGGCAAGCTTCAACGCACGCCGCCGTGTGGACGCTGCGTGACGGCCCCTACACACGGTGGCGTGCGTTGAAGCTTGGCAGTGGGCGTGTGTGAAGCTTGGGGAGTTAACACGACCAACGCGACCAACAACCAATCAAAATTGCATAAAAGGTTTTACATGTCCACTTTATATGATGAACATTTATGACATTAATGTCTATGGTGCTATTTTATGCAACATTCCATGCTGGCTAAATATACTGTCTATGCCTGCTAGCTGTCCATTCAATAGAAGTACACTGGATATAAACTCCCCAAACAGGCGA